GGCCTCTGCTGAAGTAAAACTGTTCCTTTATTTTGATTGTTTGGTCATTATTCAACGATGGTTAACGTCTGTTTTGTTAGTTAAGTATTGCACTTTCCACGTAGACAGTGTTGTAGGGAGGAGAGAGTTCCCTCTGTGTCATTTCCTTCGTCCATTTGGTTAAAAAAAAAAAAAACTACCGGGAGGAAATCGGTGGAGGTAATGGTGGTGGAGCTCCTCCCAGTAACAGCAGCGCAACCCTCATTCTACCACCACCACCACCCCCATCTTTAATCAAAACCTTAATTTTCTTCCATTCCAAAAAATGCCACCCCAAATTCTACACGATGATAATCCCACTGTTGTGGCCGTCGATAAAGACAAGCATAGTTTTTCTGCCGTTCGATGGGCGATTGATCATCTCTTGATGACCAATCCAACCCTCATTTTAATCCATGTAAAGACCGGACAATCTCAAAATCGTAGGTACCCTCATTATTTAATTGTTGACTTCTTTTAATTTCCTTGTAATTTTGTCACAAAATCCATTCTACAGTGCTTTAATAAATGGGATTGATTAGTTTTACTAGTTTTTATTTCAACTTCACTGCAGAAAATTTAAATGGGGTCTCCCCAGATGCAAATGGTGGATTCCTTGACGAAATTTTCACGCCTTTTCGTGCATATTGTGCATGCAAAGGGGTAAGCAAATTTTTTTGTATAATGATTGTTTAAGGAAATTTTGATTTACCCATTGGGAAATAGTTTGTTGTGGCTCGAAACATTTGGGGGAAACAGTTCAAAAAAATCGTGTTACGCAGAGTTCTGATGGAAATTCGATGTCCTGGTTTTTCAGATAATAGTGAGAGAGGCAGTCATTGAAGGTGATGATGTGTCTAATTCACTTATAGACTACATCAACCATCACCATGTTACCAATGTGGTTCTTGGTGGCTCATCGCGGAGTGCTCTTTCAAGGTCTCTCTCGATCTTTATCTATCTATAGTGGGTTTGGAATTTATATTGATAGAATGAATTGTATTTTGCTGGAGTAGGAAATTTTGGACTTACGATGTACCAACTTTGATAAACAAGACTGCTCCAGATTTTTGTTCAGTGTATGTAATTGTGAAAGGAAAGACACAATCTGTCCGACTAGCAGCACGACATGCAGCCAGTTCGACTCCACCTAGGATACCTTCCACACAAGCACAGTCTGTCAAGATTAACAACTTTGAACCAGACACTGGATCCAGGTACTTATTTTAGTAATTTGAACTCGAGGTTTAGTCTTAGATTCTTAAGTATAATATCTATACTGCATAGAAAAAAATATGAATTCTGGTTCAGCTAGATTTTCTACTTGTGGGAGCAGGGCAAATTCTATAAGAGAGTGGAAGGGTGTAGGTTCTGAGAGGATCGTGTCCAACAAAGGTCCAGGGAATGGATCAATGGACAATTATGACATTTCCAGTCGAGTAGGATCGAAAATGTCACCTGGCCACATTTCCCTAGACAGACCAGTCAAGTTGGGATCAATTGATATTCCAACACAAAATTTAGACTTCACCTTTATTGCAGAAGGTGGTGATGACAAATATTCCTCATCTTCAGTAAGTACTGTATGGTGCAAATGGCGAATCTTTGAATAAATTTTAATAGAAGTCGATATTTCAATCATTACATTCCAATTACCTTGATTTGAAAATTTCCCTAATGGCAGAAAGAAGCTGAAGACGAGATGAAAAGACTAAAGCATGAGGTGAGGCAGACCATGGACATGTATAATACTGCTTGCAAGGAAGCAGTTTCTGCCCAACAAAAGGTAAATAATGCTACTTTTGGCAGCAAGAATGAAAATTCCGTAGTATCTAATATTGTAAAGAAGAAGCTAGGCAACCAAACACACCTTCTCTCACCCCAAGATCGCACACCATGGAACGATTCGGTTTCTGTTTAATAATTTATGTAAGCTTCGATCAAGATGAAATAGAACAAATAGATTAAAATTTAACAGCAGTAATTTTAGTTTACGTAGTACATTCCATAACTTAAATAAACAATCTCATTAGGCGATTTTATTTCACTTGAAACTTTAGACGACTTGTTGGAGAGCAATCTGTGGGCTTCAAAAACTTTCATCATAGATGATGTTAGAGCATGACTAGAAGTAAGTACATCAGGTCAAAAATAATCTTGGATGGGGAACTGCACATGATAGCACTTTTTCTATAAATAATTTGATGAAACATACATATAACTTTAATCATGACGCTGAGGACTGTTAAAGCATGCATTTTGATCCTCTTCTTCTGATGAATTTTAACTTTTATCCCCGTTAAGTTTAAAACCAAATTAACTATGTAACCCAAATTGTGTGTGTGTGTGTGTGTG